CATTATACATATGTAACATTAACCTGTCTGTCATAATGTGTATTAATAGATTCATAGATAATCGATAACATGAACAAGATTTTGATACAGAAAATCAAGCATTACCTCTGTGTGGGATCCAGGAATAAATACAATGAATGTTGATATTCTATATATCTGTAATTGGTGTTGACAGCGCCAGGGCCAGATTAAGGATGACAGGGGCCCCTGGGCTTAAGCAATTGCTTGGGCAATTAATTTAGCAGTTTTTATAATCATCTTTACAGACACAGCACTGGAGTCTCCGGGGTCCTAAACAATGAAAAAGTAAAGCCAATGTCAACACAACACAAGAGTAAAGCCAAATGAATTAGAGTTTCTCACACTCCTTTGAAATAATGTTTGCTGCTAAACACTTAGTAATCTATCGGGGAAACATGGATAACATTTTTAATTTGCAAGGAGTCTAACAAGCTGATTAACTAAAACCTGGTCTGTCCCCTTTAATGCACATTGTGAGTGCTGCCTTCAGGTGCTGTTATGGAACTCGGCATCTTACGCTATCACCTATCAGCATCCATCTTTGTTGTCCGCCCATTTTCAAATTAGCTCAGCAGCTCACTGTCAGCCCTCTCAGTGCTCCTCCACCCTCCTGTCAGTCTTTCTGTCAGTTAATCAGTCTCCCTGTCAGTCAGTCAGGGAGCCGGCCAGGCCGTTACGCTCCGAGGACGTTCCCTCCCAGTGCTCTTCAATTCATTTGTTTGTTTGTCAGAGAAAAATGGTGAGGGAGGTGTATGGAGGTGTGATCTAGTTGGAGATAGTAAAATGGAAAAAAATATATGCCAGTGAAGTAAGCAAAGTGATAGGGGGAGATAGAGAGATGTCAGACCGAGAGGTTAGTGTGACTGAGAGAGAAGGAGGAGAATATCCTGAGTTTACTTTAGAGAAAGATGTTATTTTAAAGAAAGAGAGAGAGAGAGAGAGAGAGAGAGAGGGTTGCTGGTTTAGAGAGAAAATAGATGTTGGGGGGGTTAGTTTAGAGAAATGGGGAACTGAGAGAGTGAGAAACAAAAATTGTTAGAGAGAGAGAGAGTAGATGGCCGTTTGCGCCCTCTGATACTGCCACTCACTACCTACTCAGGCCTCAGCAGCCGATTGGCAGAGAAAGCTCTAATTGAGGAACCCTGTGGCTCAGAACAGCAGAGAGAGCCTAGGCTAGCTTTCTTTTTTGTTTGTTCATAAATTCACCTGTCACTCATTACACCCTGCCCTTTGCAATGTGAGCTGTGAGCAATAGATGACGTCTGTACAGTGATGGCAGTAGAATGAAGAAGATAATCTACAGTTATGCATCAATTTCCAGTAGTCCAGAGGAGTGGCCACATTATGTGTCTTGTTTAGTAAGACACACAACTCCCAAACTTTTCTTCGTGCTTTCTTGCGCACACCCACTCATAGAAAACAGCTGTGTTACTCTCATTACACTGTTGCATGACCAGAACATTGTGGAAAACACAGTGGTGAATATTATGTGGCTGTCACACACTGCCAGGTATTTATCTACCGCTAGATGAACTTTACATCTGTAGAGGCTTTGTGGGGGTTTGTTGCCATCTGTTAATGACTAATGCAAGTTGGGATATATAAGGAGAATGTGGGGAAAAGAAGGAAGGGAGGTGGGTGGGAGGATGTCGAGATGCCCTGATACCACCAATAAAAAGGTGTCACATGGTATTAGGCTTGCACAGCCTGGTATGCCAGTGTCATCTTCTCACGTGACAGCAGCTATCTCCATTATTCACACTGCCTCTTCTTCCCTCCCCGAAGGTCTCATGCCCTGGCTGTCACACTTTCCCAGAGCACTCAACACCCACTTCCCACTCGTCTCCACACCCAGCTACCCTTCAGACCACCCACCCTGAAACAACCCAGCCCAGCATGGTGACAGTGCGAGTATGCTACAGCATTCACATGCGCTGCATGCTAATTACAAGCTGCGCGCCTCTTCTATAGCTTCCACCTCACCTTCCCATCCTCAAAATCACACATACAGTGTAAACAGACAACAGTGCCCATCCCACCTTTCTGTCACAAATATTCCACTTAAACACGTTTTCCCTTTAAATCCGTCATTCCACTATTTGCATACATAATGATCAGATTTCCCCATATGATCATTTAAATTAAATGTTGGCGTGCATGGAAACGTGTGCTTCTTCCTACTTGGCACATCCAAATCACCGACTCGTGCTACGGAGGCATGTTATCAATAATCAGTAGCCTTAGCAGAGCAGGAAAGAACAGAGTTGTGGAAAGACAATGCGGTCCTGTAGACAGCTTGACCTTTTCCTCTTTCCAGAGTCCGTCACTCATCACTGTAAATACTCAGCTCTCAGCAAGCCACTAAATACCATCAGAATGAACAAAGTCAGTCTTAGTGTTCACTGCAGATTCATTCACCATGTAGGGGATTATTTCTTTGCCCCAGGTGACCTGATATATTACAGTTCTTATATCACAGCAACTTGAAATGGGTACAATAAAATCATATATTTTACCATGACAGATTTTTTAAAGGTTTATTTTTGGGCTTTATTAATTAATAAGTCGTGGAGACGCGGACAGAAAATGGAGCTGCGATAGAACTGTCAGCAGCTGGAGTCAAACCCAAACAGGGTATATGGTGCACCACGCCCTAACCACTTGGTTACGGGACACCTCGACCATGACAGTTTAAATGTCAAAATCGCTGCTTTGTGCTTGGCTGAACACTGTGCACGTTCTCTCCAACTCGGGATGTGCACTACAAGTTTTTGTCTTGACCTTAGCAAGTCAGTCAGTATGTTATTAAGTTTTAAAAGAATTCTTTGTTAGTGAGGCCAATTTTGTAATGCTCACTTGATTTTAAGACTGCCTGTGAAACAAGTCAAAGTAAAAGCAAATCATTAAACTAGCCCAGAAAATTGGCCTTAGTAAATATGTATTGAAGCTGAAATAGCTTTTATAAAAACAAAACATTTTTTAACATCCGCCAAGGTTTGTCATCATAATTATATTTGACTTTTTAAGCCATTAGCTTAGTGAATTTGAATTATTCAATTTTTCACATCCTTAGTACATAAAAAAAACAAAGGCTATTCATTCACATGAACCAGATCTCTTGTGGAAGACAATAACTTGCCTTAGTTTAAAAAAAACATACAATTTCAAGACAATTTTAGGTCATTTTAAGTGCTACTTTAATTTCTGGGTTATGTTAGCTGACAACTTCTTTCATATACATCCCAGACATGAGGGAGGATGTATAAAGTGCAGAACTTTAACACCAGGGACCAACGTTCACATCCTGACTTCTGGATAGGTTTAGGTGACAATAGCACTTTAGTCATGTTACAGTGAAGTTGTGGTTCCAGTTAAATGTTAATAAACAGAACATGTTGCTTCTCATCCTTAAAGTCGCTTTTTCAGTAATAAAATATAATTTTCATAATTTCAGCCAAAAGCTGCAGGTTTCTAAAGTAATCATTAAGGTGCTATGATTATTGTGTTGTGTGGATATTGCAGGTAACCTGTGAACATTTTGCACCTACACTCTACAGTTCTTTATTATTTTGATAGAAAACAATCTGAAATCTAGTTGGCACTATTGTTTACTCCAAATGTGTTTGCTATTACTAGTATAAAATGTGACTTCTAGGAGACAGATGAACATATCTGTAGCTGTAACAGTCCAATGTACTTCAGTCATATGTACTTCCTATTCTAGTGGAGTGACCGTCTTTTAACATACAGACCAAATAGGCTAGAACAAATCTTCCTGGCTAAGGCTGACTGATGTAAAGCTTGGAGCCATTCCCATGTTTCTAATTAGCCTCGACTCTGGCATGCTAGCCATCAGGCCGATGGTTGGCATGAGGCAGCAGGACAGCCCAGCTGCCCCTGTGCCCTCCACTCTGCCTCAGGGGGGAGATTTTGGCTCTACTGCTGCCTCAGTGAATAGCGAGAAACAAAAACCTGGATCAGAGGGGAAAGATAGCTCACACCCCACATAACACTCTGTCAGAAGCAATATTTCATTTTTAAGGGAAATGTTCCATCAGCAGCCTGATCTGTACCACTCCTTACCGCTGGCGTGCTCCACTTCCACACACGCCATCTTAACATGTGTAACGCCACTCTAACTACACAATAAGAAACTGCCTGATAAACAGCATCATGAATACATTATTGATATGCAAGCCTGAAATTAGAAAATGAAAATGAACAGTCGAGACGTCAGATGAGCGTTTATCATTTCCAGTTGCACAGCGGATGTTATCTGAACACATATTGAAGGCCTTTCCTCACGATGATGACATGAACACTGCAGCACCAGCAGTGCAAGAAAATGGAAGAAAAGAGCAATAAGAGACAAAAACAGAGAAGGAGTGAGGGAGGCAAGTTTGGGATTAAATGGATACACAGGCTGAGGAGAGAGCAGAAAGGGGGAGAAAGGGAAGGGAGCTGTTTAACACTGTAATTAAGTTCCTGATAGCAGCCAGGGACATGTGCTTTGGTGTAGCTCCAGGACAGCTTCGCACTGCACCAGCGCTTTTCAACACACAACCTATGCTTACACACACACAACCCAATTTGAACAAACAGAAATTTAGTACAAGTCAGTTCTCTGTGCTCTCGTGCCAATTCTGAATCCCAGAATATGTGTCAGATTCACCAAATGCTGCGTCAACAAGAAGAGAAAGGAGGAGCAGCCTGGCAAGAGAGATGGCTGAGAAACCATCACTGGTAGTCACTTGATGTCTCTTTAACAAACACACTGTCATGCACACAAGGCAGCTGCATCACAAGTGCCACACAAATCACTTATGAGAGCACAAATGGAAAATATTCCTTTCTCTCCCTTCATGTTTATGGTGCTCTTATGCTTCTGCCACCAGAGGCTTTTCGGTGCCTTCTTCTTCTTTTGCTTAGCTTTTTCTACTCCCTTTTTTTTGGCAGAATGTAAAAATGACTGATATCTGTCACTTATAGCGCTGACCTGCAAGACAATGAGTTTGACAGAAGGCTAGTGTGCTGCCAAATTGCGTACAGGAATGAAGACTATGAAAAGATGGCAGCTATTTCCCCCATCTGTGCATTCCTGTCAAGTTGAAAGGTGTTCACTGAGAGGAGAGAGAGGTAGGACTTGGGAGAGGGAAGGGATGGGAGAGAGAGAGGACCCAGAGAGAGAGAGAGGGAAGCGGCAGCAGTAACACCTAGCTCCTCTCCAACAGTCCCATTCCTCGCCTTCTTCGGGCCAAGCGGAGCAGCAGTACGAGCGATAGGATTTTCACTGAGGACAACGCGCATCCAAAGGATCTGAGATTTCCCGGGGACTGGTGGCCAAAGACGTGGGAGGAAAGGATACATCATCGCAAAGACAGAGTTGTCATTATAGAGCCAAAATAGGGGGGCAAGTAAATCCGAATCGACTCTCACAGATTTCGAGGCACTTTACAACTACAGGACACCTCCGGTTCTTACCTGTGCGTCGTTTATGTCCCTTCTCCCGGGTGATAAAAGTGTGTGCATTTTCACTTACCCCTTTTACGCACGGTGACACGCCGAGCTGGAGACACGCGGATACGGTCCTGGATGCAAGATGCTGATCGGTAAGTGCCGCACACGTCCAGTACTTCACCGTACACCGGTGGTGGTGTGGCTGCGCTGTGTATAGTGATTTATGTGACACATTTACGAAAGATAGTAGAAATGTCACGGCTTTGGTCCGTGAGGATGTCGGAGAGATGTTACAGTGGCACTTTTAGAGTTCGATTATTTTTTTGTTAATCGGGCTCACGCTGATCGTACATGAGGAGTCTTTAATGATTGGAATTATACTGGAATTTATCAGTAGCCTCCGTCATCTACTGGTTTGTGCGCCAGGGTGACAGTAAGTGATGCAGCAACTAAATTAGCTGTATCGATCAAATAGTAGCCGATATGTTGCACAGAATAGATCACCGACAAACAGACGTGTGCGTCCTGACTCGGGAGGAATAGAGGATACCCAGCCTCTTTATTCCTCTCGATCAGTATGTAGAAGTTTAGATTTATGTCGGAAAAATCAAGTCTATGCTACTTCTACAATAGATGGCCAGTAACGATCATGTCTAGTTTTTCTCTTTTAAAAGTGAGACGGTCCCAAATCATCCCAGTCGTTTTCAGATAGGCCCACGCAAATGTGACCTGCACCGGGAGTGAGTCCAGTCAAAATGAATGATTACCTCAGTCAGCAAATGCATTTTCGATAAAAATTGATTGTGCTGGAATTATTGGTATTTGTAAGCGCATTCATGTGACAGTGTGGATCAGGGTTATGGGGGTTATGCGCACATTAACCTCGCTGTAAAGACGGTGGTCTGAAAAGGATTTTTTTTTTCCCACTGGAATTTATTTTGTACCTTTTTCTAATAATATACAGACTCGGATATTAATAAAATAAGTAGTGTAAGATTTTTTGAATGTCACTTTTGTTTTAATAATAAAATAGATCCTGCCTTAAAGTAGTGAAATAAAAAAAATCTGAGCAAGAAATACAATCTACATTTGACATTTTAGCTGTTTGTGATAAATCCAGTCTAGAGAACGTATTCACATTATTTGCCTAATGAACTCCATCCAGTCTCTGATTACATCGCTGAATAAAGGTGTACTTTTCTTTGTGTGCGTTGAGCTGAGGGATAACTGTGCTGCTCTGCTCCGTGCTTCACCTGAAAAACTGATTTACAGCCATAGATCAATCTTCTTTTCCCTTCTCCTGACGAAGATTCTTACATATCAGCTCTGGTCTGGTTGGATAAAGCTTTGAGCCCTTCTTTTCATAACAGAAAGCAAAAAAAAAAAAAAAGATTAGATTATTATAATCCAAAGAGAACATGGTGATGATCTTATTCACTGACTTGGAGGCAAACACGGGCACACCAGGCCTCTGGATCTATAGGTCTCTGTAAGTGAGACTATGGGGTGCTTTGAGACCTTACTGCTCTTAAAATGGCTTCAGTGCATGGGCAAATGACTCATGCAAATGGATGCCATGTTAGCATCTCTCTAGATATTTACTTCTCCTTCCCAGCGCCACCTCCAAAACCCTCCACCAGTTAGAATGATGCATATACGAGGCACCAAAGGCTTCAACGTTGAGGTGTTTGACTGAGATGTTGACTTTTTCCTTGTCACGTCAGCAGTCTCCCCCTTTCGCCCTTTTAGTCGGCTCATAAAAGAGCAGCTTTACTGTCAAGTGGAGCTAACTACTCAGGCCTTTGTCTTGTGTGGATTTCACCTCTGCCATTATGTCGTCTTAAAAGCCAGTTGATGGTTCACAGGGGAGCTCTGTGGCTGCTGCGGCTCCTTCTCAGATAACAGCTGTTACTTAACAACAGACATGATTATTCATGTTCTTTTGCCATCTGAGAGCCAAGGTTCTGTTTTCATTCAAGCTTACCTAGAGGAGTTGAAGTAGAAAAAGATCTGGTGGTGGTAACTCACCCTAGTTTCACTTCACCCGTCTATCTGTCACCCCCCGGCCAGGGGCTGTGGGAGGGCTGATTACAGGCCTGGGTGTGGGTACCATTCTTCGTCTTCCATTCCCTTTTTATCTGCATCACTATCTGATCTAATAAGGTGGCAGGGGGTGGAGGGTTGCAGGGGATATATGGAAGCAGGGTTAATCTGGGTTAAACAGGGTCCAAACTTGATCAGGGATAATTACATGCAGTTAGGGTTACAATCTGTGACCACACCCTGAAAGCAAGGCAGTGAGAGAAAAGCATGTGGGTGTTTTTGTTTGTTTGTGTTTTTTCCTTTTGCAGTAGTATGACAAACATACTAATAGCATTCAGAATTTGGAACCCAAATCATAGATTAATGTATAGCCCAGCTGGCAGTCCTTGACCTTGAGGTGTCCACTTGCCCATTGCTGCAGCTTCATTGTGTAAAGGCTGTGGTGGTTCACATGCAGCGAGGAGCAACAGCATGTCTGTTTGAAGTGGCTGTGCAGGTGCAGGGGTTGTAAATGAGGAGGTTAATGAGAAGGCAGCTCTGTTAGACTCAGGGCTTTGGTTCACTTCCCACCAGTTCCACATCTGCACCATAAAACCATCGGCCTCTTAGACAAACAAGCTGTTCCTCAAGTGTGTGCATTAGTACTTGTTTGTGTCTTTTTAGTTAAAGCGGCTGTGGGCTTCTGTCTGGGCTGACTGATTGGATGTGAGTGTGTGTGTGTCTGCACACATGCGTGCACAAACAAAGCGGGAAGCAATGAGACATTATGATGGATGGATCTCCTGAGCCTCCTGTCTCTTCATTCATCCCTCATGGTCCAGAGGGATGAAGGTGGCAGCTCTCCAACTCCTGCTCAACCTACTTCTGCCTTCTCTCTCTCATGCACACACGCACTCAGCAGAGACAAGTACCCAGTACTCTATTAGCTCAACAAACACCTCAAATGACAAATTTGTAGTCAAACTGACTTTTTATTTTTCATTACTCCAGTCCCTGCTAAGCTGTATCATCTCCATAAAGACACCTGTGGGAAAGAAAGCAATGTCTAGTACCACCACAAATAATATATTATATTATATTGTATTTATTGTTTCTCATTCTTTTGCATTTTATAAGTTGTCTCACAGGAGTGAAGTTCTATCCCACATTTCCATGCATATTCAGTGCATGTGTGTGACTCTCTTTCATTTTTATGTGCCAGTCAGTCGCTGCTTCCAGGTAACAGAAACAATAGGATGTGTTATCACTCCAAAACTCTTTTCTAACATGCTTTTAAATTTTTTTTTTACTTTGCCGTACTTGACCTTCTAATATCTTTCCCAGTATAGATCCGTCCAGGAGGGGAGCTCTCACAGTGTTGCATATCATCAACCTCTGATGTGTAGTGCTCCTCAAGAGTCATTTTATGATGAAATCCTGGTGTCTTATGGCACAGTCTTTTAAAAAAATAAGAATTGTGTTAAAAAGAAGCTCAACTGAAGTTTGTTTACAGGTCTTGGGGAGTACTTCAGCATGTAGAAAAAGTTGTATGAAGCTTTTTTTGGGCTCCAGAGGGAGCTGTGTGAAATATGATATATTTCCTCCAGTAATGTCACTTGAGTCAATGTCCCTTGAGGCTGAAGACTATACAGCTGCATTCAGACTGAGTTTCACACAGTGTGATAAAACACATACCTTCCCATTTATTTCTGTTGGGGATTGCGTTCACTGCAGCTGGCACCAGCACCACAGGGCGTTCTAGCATAAAAATGCAGCCCAGTGCCGCTAAAAAGCAGGATCTGGTTCAACTTTTTCAGCAATGCAACATGACATCATCTGGCAGGGCACTGCATTGACCAAGCATGTAATGGGGGATGGTGTCTATCCAGACAGGGCTCATTTACCAAACGGTGATTCTCTCCCAGCTGTGTCTTCATTTCGATGAGTTCATGAACCCAAGTTCATGGGCTGGCAACGTGAAGAAGACCACTCACTTCCTCAGATTCATCACAACATGACTGTATTGTACATGCCTTTGTCACAAATGTGGGGGTTTAGAGACTTTCAGGTCACACAGGTTTTGACAAGGTTTTAAATTGTTCATGGTAAGTCCAGCAGTAACAGAGGAGTGCATTGCTAAATTTGGGAGCTATGTAATGAATATCTTGTTATGATTCTAAAGGACTGACACCAAAACAGATGTTTTCACCTTTTGCTGTGTTTAGTCACTTTTTTTTGCTTCTGGGTTTTTTTCTTGCCTTCAGAAAATATAGAAACATCCTAAATAAGCTGCTGGACTTGGCTTCTTGGGGTTCAGGACCAGGGTGAGTGGGTGGACTGTGGGAGCAATGATAACTATACAGTACCTGTCTACATGAACCTGCAGGTGGCATTCAGACAGGTCAAAGGTTAACAGAGTTATAGGTCACCTCTACCATTCTGGATTTCCCTGAACACTATAGAAATTACATGAGATCATTTGTAGCGGAGACTCTTAATATGTAAGATTTGTACTGTGACAGCAACAGTACAGTACATTTCTGCTTTTGCACATGTGGTGTTTGTACGCATGGTTTGTAATTTATGCACTCCTTTCTGGCCTCGGCACACCCCCCACCCCACCCTGTGGGGAAAATGCCTGTGTGTGAGTGGCAGTTCAAGTCATTTCACTGAAGTGACAGCGTGGGTTTGATTGGCCCACCTGCTAAAGTGATGGCTTCTGGATGCTGAGAGTTGTAGGCATATGTGAGGCTCAGCGGGAGCTCTGACAACATGAGAAATGGTCTCACGCTGCACTCTGCACCAAAACTGCACCACTTAAACCTCTTTTCCACCTCCTGGAACCAGCTCAACTCTTCTTGCTTTTGGTACCGGGTGCTTGGTTTTTCACAGAAAATGGTCCCTTTCGGTGTAGCCGGTTGTCATAGCAACACCATGTTACACTGCTCTGACGTTGTCAGCAACCGACACAGTAACAATAGAGGAAGGACATCAAAGGTATAATACTGTTTTTGATTCTCGGTATGTGGCTGTTTTTAGTTAGTACAGTAACTACAGTAAAGTAACTGTTAGCACTAAATAATGTCACTTTTAAAAATGGAACTTTCTTTGTTCCAGGGCATCTTGCACG